AGTATCCTATTGTCTGATCCAGTTATATTAAAGTGTTCATTCCTTCCATTACTAGTATCAGTAAATATCACATGACATCCATCATCAGTTGATACTAGTTGATATATACACTGTACACTAACTGATCCATTGGTATATGTATTGTTAATGTAGAGACCAATGACCTGATATGTAGCTGAGAGAAAGAAATGAATATTAATAAATATAATAGTAGCTATATACTTACTGATGATGGTGTATGTCTCATACTGGAGCTTGTTCCTTAAGTTAAATACACGTACAGTATAGTTGTATTGATGATATGGTATTAATGTACGTATATCATTAATAGACTCATCAGTACCAGTGAATGTGTACTGATCAATGACTGCAGTACTGTCACTGGTAATAGTTAGGGAAGTGTTGGATTGTGAAGGAGGACAACTTAACTGATGACAAACAATGAAGCACATTATTAAATTAATTCATATTTACCTCAATAGTCACATTAGGTCTTATAAAATTATCTTTATTAATTGTAATATTAACAGCATAACCTATCAGTAATGAGAGATGTCATTATAATGTTCATTCACTCACTTACTTCCATTATTACTGATAGTATTATTAATTGAAGTATATTGAGCCAGTAGTGCTGTTACACTGACATTGAATAAATCACATTCTGTGATATTAGGAAGTGCAACATTTGCATTTGGTGTATTTGTATCCAGTATGATATCTCCATCTTCGTCAGTAACTAATACTTGATAACTAACAGAAGATCCAATAGGAATATCACTAGAGAAATAGACAGGACGTGACCATGTTATTAATAATAAATTATTTGTCGTAAAACTATACTGAAGATCTTCAACTTGTGCTATACCTAATGAATCATGAATGTTATAGCATAAATAATTATCTAACCTCTTATTGTAAGTGTACTACCAGACGATGCATACTCAAAAGGTAGAAATGATATTATGTGACAACCAATGCCAATTCCATCATTAATAGGCAAAGCACTGATAGTAAGTACTGATGATAAGTTACCAGGACCACCAGGATCAGTGTATGTGATGCCTCTTTGTTGTGCAATGGCAGGAGTAAGTGAAGCACCTTGTACTGACCAATTGAATATATCTCCAGTTCCTTCACAAGTGAATGTTGCTGTAGTATAAATAGGAGTGACTACTGATGCTGGAGGCACTGTAATGACTATTGGAAGGAATTTTTATTGATTCAATTTAAAGCATTTAATTTTACCAGCTCCATCCACTGATAGGTAGACTATTAATAATAAAGCCAACAGCAATACTACTATCAACTCAGACATCTCTTGATTTTATGGCCTAATGCACACTTATATAATGTACACTTTATGACCTACATTGATAATATTGCCAATTCTGACATATCATCAATAACATAAGAATGAACACTGAGTTACACAAACACGTACATTATAACAGTGTAGATCTATATTCACACATTATGATTCATACTGTAGTACATGATCAACAGTACTAGTGCAGTGTATGTTAAAACTGTTTATCATTAGTTGATCATGTTATTACGAGACACCTACGGTGCATGGCCTCGCCCTTATGCTGCTATGGTGCATGCCCGCACTGCAATAGCTGTTTGATTATCAGCATGAAGAGAGTCTGCTCAACACTAGCTTCCTGCAGTTGCATGTACTTGCTCTTGAATACCTGCAGAGGTAGCAGCACTGCAGCACATACATGCAAGCAGCTCCAGCCCCTCCCATGCATGTAGATTGAAAGGTGTGGCATTACATCATCAACTGCAATGATGGCAGCAAGAAGACCATGTGAGAAAGAAGCTTCACTTTTTCTTTACTAATCAGCAATATACGATAAACTTGCTGACAGAAAGTTGTTGCCTTCATGTATTTGAGATAGTATAGGTACTTTAGTACCTATAGCCCAGGGTGTCTCCATTCACTGGACTGGAAGAGTGGACTGGACTACTGAACTGGAATACTGGACTCCATTTAGAGTTAAAAAATACACTTACCTACTTGTATTTATTATCTATTTTAGCACAATTCAGTTTAACATGTCCATTTTTAAAATCATTGTAGTGGTTAACATAATGCAACAAAAAATCACTATAATTATTGTAGTCTAGCTCAAGCAAGAAAAACAGTATTTGTTATTCAATATTTAATCCAAATTGTTCCTATAAGTATCTTTTGTGTACTTCATTGAGCTTGAGTATACAAGACTCTGGGATTTGCAGCTCACTTGGTATAAAGTAAAGATTATTTAACTGAATGCACTGAGGTCGACAGTGATAATAAACATTACTAAATTTCCTTTGTGGAGTTGAACTGCTTGGTGTTAAATATTCACGCCAATCTTGGTGCTGAATACAAAGATCATTGGGCGGCTCCAGTGGTTTCTTATACTTATTCTTGCAACCAAAACAAGAACTAATATTACCAGTAATGAAATGAAGAGTATATGGGTAAGTAGTCGACATCTGTTGATATTCACAAGAAGGGCTATAAAAAGGTGGACAAACATAAGGAGAGCCAGTGCCATATGACTGCTGCTCCACACTCCATTGCTGCCAAGGATCTCTTCTTCCAGAAAAAACAGTAGAATATGGTGAATTATGAA